GAACGGTGATGATTATTATGATGATGGAGATAATGATAATAATGATGATAAAAATAATAGTAATTTTATCATCATCATAATCAACATATTATTTTTCTATTTGTAATATCTCCAGCGCATTATCTATGAAATTAATTTAGAACTGCAAAGTTGGATAACTCGATGCGCAAATATATTTTTTATCAGATTAGGTTAATGTGCAATCGCCATTCCTCCTTTTAAACTGTCTTACCTTTTCATCATAGATTTCATCAACTCTGACGACTGCAAACGCGAAGCAAATCCTCCAAGCTGCTCCAAAAGCAAAGGCTCTTCTTGGTTTTACAGATGATGCTATCAAAGCAAGCGTCAGGTCATCCAGCATTCTCAAAGTCGTGTCTCGATCAAGTGGGACTGTCAGGGCGTTAAAGTTCTTTAAAGGCGCTGGTGTTGTTTTGTCTGTAATTGGAATAGGTCAGTTATACACTTATTTTAATAAAGTTAGTCACCAAAAACCTAGAAAGCTGTGATCACTGAGCATCATGGGAAGCTTTTCATATCAAAAAAGCATATATATATACAAAGCTTTTTTTAATACAAACTGCAGCTCGATGATGCTCAGAAGAGGTGAGACTGTAACCGGTAAAAGATTCACAAGTCCATGAACAGCTATCAAGCGGTTGAACGTGTAAAATGAATCTACCCATAAACCTTGTCGGCCTCAGCTTTATAGCTTTTCAGGTGACTAACTATTGAAATAAGTGTATTTAAGTATAGTTTTGTTCACAGCTCACTAAATAACTCACAATGATATTTGCTGTACAATATTGGTATTACACTACTTGTATAGGAAATTACACAATCTTCTCGAGTACAATTCGGAATTTATAGGTACGAGTGATGTTCTAAACTTTCAAAACATCACGAGTAGAGTGACCACAGTAAATCCGTGAAACTTTAGTAATACTAAATAGCACAATTTCATGCAAATTCCATTGTTTTCTATTGTTTATTTAGCACTATTTTGTACTATTTAGTAATTAGTGTTTCACGGATTAATTGTTTGCACTCTATCTATCAATTCCGAATTGTACGAGAAGATCGTGCCAAGATGTGCACCGAATCGAAATATTGCRACTAATCAAATCGTTCGTATTATATACACATGTATYGTTAGGTGTGGATATATTCAGCATAGTGTCTACAGTTCTCGAATGCCGCGATAGACGAGATAAAGCAAAAGAGTCGCTGAACAAACTCAAAGAAGCAGAGCAGGAAGCGATTAAAGCAGAGAAGGAAGTGGCATTATATTGTGACGAAGTCACTACATTTGTAAGATATACACAGAACGTCATGGCCGCCATCTTGGTTGATCTTAACGAAAGAATTGTCAGTGATTATTTTTGTTATACCAACCAACATGGCCGCCGTGTCTTTTGTTATTTCACTCTCTTGGGAATGATTGAAAACCAGCAATACTGATACTCTATTATGTCATCGACAATATTGACCAATGAAACCACTCACCCACCCACCCTCCCACCAACTAACCAGCCGACAGATGGATGGATGGGTGGGTGGGTGGGTGGATGGATAGATGGAATTCAGTTGTTGATTTKGTTTTAGTGGAAAGAAAATGTCATCCCTGCAGTTTGCAGTGAATCGTTGAAGCAGGCTCTGAGAGGAGTAAAGGACCTCGTACAAAGTGCAGTGTCCAAGAATGAAGAATTGAAAAAGGCGTTAGAATACATCGATCAGTTTACTGAACGCATCGATAAGGCAGGAGCTGCGAAAACAAACACTTTGTTGAAAAACCTATTCAAAGGTTTGGCCAGCGTAGAGTTTACCATGAGCTGCTACAGCAACAAGGTACGTTATTCGATTATAAAATACCATTTCTAACTGATATCTCTGAACAGATCATAAGGTGTTATAATGTAACTACGTCTATAAATGAAAGATTGAACCCTGAAACAACCTCTTGACTGATCACCCTTGATTCACCCAATTGATTGCTAACATTTTGTTCATAAATGTTGCATTTCAAGTTTAAGTTAATAGGTCACGTGATCAATGGATGTAAGATGGGAACGGCGACGCTTGACAAGTTGTTTGATGGAGGAATCAAACTTTTTCCTGCTAATTCAGAAGAATGCCAGACAAGATCAGGATTAGTGTACACATCCAATGAAAACATTTCCAACATTGTGAAAGAAGCTGCAAAAGTCCAAGGTTTTCACACCAAGTGTCCCTTGAATAATTTAGATCTAAAAGAGCTAGTTTGTATGAAGAAACGCGAAGGTATCACAGTTGAAGAGATTGCAGAAGAATCGAATATCTCTGAGGCTGATGTCAAGCGTATAGTTGAAAAATGCACYCAAGAATTAACACCAAAAGAGAAAAAGGTTGTTTGTTCTTTGAGAGCATCTACTGACTGGACAGACGAAGTCATTGCAAAAAAATTAAAGCTGAGCGTAAAAGAAGTAAAGAATGTGTCCTGTTAAAATGAATGGAAAAATGATTTACTCTCTAATAAATATGCAACTACTTGTTATTGTTCTACAGAACTTATACATAGAAGTAATGTTGATGATGATAATGATGATGACAATGATGATGACAATGATGATGACAATAATAATGATGATGGTATGAAGATGATTATGGYGATAGTGATGGTAAAAATGATGATGATGGTGATGATGATGATGACGATAATGGTAATGAAGATGGTAATGTTGATGGTAATGATGATGATGATGATGATGATGTTCTGTGTACCTTGATATCCATGCAAGTGTCTATATTCAACACTACACTTCCTCTGGGTCCCAAACGTTTCTTCCTATATTTATTGTAAAACAAACCCTTATTCAGTGAACACTTTTATTTAGCAGACGCGGAAACTAAAATACAACCTTACTTCATACAACATTTACAATGATCACGGCTAACTGAAACTGTGTTCAATATAACAGCAATAGCATCTGAAGTACGATAGTTTCGATGTTCCCACTTTGAATTGGCTTATTTGCCAATTTTTAGAATTAAACAGTTGAAGTATAACTATAACTATTATTATGTATTTTAAATATGCTGTATGTCGTTGGTGGATACTTCGTGCAACCTTCAAGCTTCCAAGTGTGTCTTCTTATCACAGGTGCCATAGTACTCATTAATAACAAGACAAGACTTAATACACTATGCATGACTATCTTCTTCCATCGTACTCATTAATAACAAGACAAGACTTAATACACTATGCATGACTATCTTCTTCCATCTTATTCATTAACAACGAGACAACACCTAACACTATCTTAAGAAGGTTTTACCCATCTTTACTCGTCACCAAGTTAATTGTTTTGTTAATTTTACAGCTGACGCTCTTCATTGCCTTTTTCATTAATGTTTGTATTCATTCTCATTCTTACCAGGCAAAGATGAAAATGAGTTCCATTCTTAACTAATGATTAAATTCCAAAACGCTTTCTTTCCCCCCGATATTTGACACGCAACTATCTTGGAGGCAAACACAGATTTTCCCTCTTGTTAGAGAAATATCATCATTTGTTTTCGGAGATTAATGTGAATAATCATTGGAGATCGATCGAAGGCCTTCAAGTGCGTCCAGAACAGGTACTTAAGCGTTCATATTCAACGTGCGTTTATTATTTGGATATTTATTATTTACATCGATTAAGTGAGAAGAAGTCTGCACTGGTTTTACATTTTTCTTGATTATTAAGATAACTTAATGTGGTCTTTCTCATGGAGGGCACTAGTGTGATATCCCTGGCTCTCAAATCGCTACCCTATTTATCACCATTTCTTATATAGCCTTCTTTAATGCAGGGCTACTCTTTACGTTAATATCGTTCGAACTCTGGCTCCCATGGTTAGAAGGTACGTGCAGATCAGTTCCTGTGAATCAACTCTTCATAGCGCGATTAACCTTTTAAATCAAAACCTCAATAAAGTAGACATTTTCTGAAACTGTATAAATTTAGAAACTATTACTTTTTAGTTTTTTTGTAAAATAAATGTATCCTTTTAATTTAGAGCGAATTATTCAACATTTCGTCTAGGCATCTTTGAGGAGTTCCACGACAGCCGAGAATAATCGGAAAGCAATGCTTATTACCTTTCCAAGATCTCAAGATATCACTTCTCAAAAGTGTGTCTCCAATTTTTCATTATCTGGTCGTTGCTTTTCTTAATATCAGGAATGTATCCAATACTTTACTGAGATGGTAAAAATCACTATTTTCGTTAGTCTAAGCTGAATGAAATACACCCTAACTGTTTGATATCAAAGTAAAATGAGTTTYAGCTGAAATTTTTTTTGTAGGGTAATTTTTCAAGGACATACTGCTGTTTGAAATAAACGAATAAAATTTTGAGGGAAATAAATAAATAAAAACACAAACAATCCCTAATTGTTTTACGAGGTTAGCACTTTAATAATTGCCAGCATGCTAACAAACCTTTGGCCCTCGTTCCACAATCAAACTTAGGAATTAGGAGTTGATTTTGAGGAGGATTTATAGGAAAATAGGAGAACCCGGAGAACATCTGGTACATTTTTGACAGAAGTTTAGATGCATATTACACATGCATTAAAACTAATTCCAATAAGTTAATGAACGACATTCATTCATCGTTTTCTCGTGACGTCAAACACCAGCTTAAACTTAATTATGAAAACTATAAACTTGATTATTTGATATGTTTTAGAGAAATATGAAATGACATGGTATGGGAGATTTCAGATCGTTTCGCCGTTTCGTTGCCAAGTAGAGCAAATTTGACTTTTAACGTAATCCGGACTTTAGGCTGATTACGGGTTTAAATGTCAGTGTAATGATTTTTTTTTTTTTTTTTTTTTNTTTGTTTGCCAAACCAAATATTTTTAGTGTTTTACACGTTTGTGAATCTGATAAGTAGTTGTCATAAAATTATTTTTCTTTGAAATTTTGGCCTCCATATTGGTTAACATTAGGTATCATCCAGCAAGATTTCGCCATACAGTTACACTGAAAAATCAGTCAACTTCGTTCGCCCATAGCTCCATTTTTCCTCCTCAGAGTTCCTTACAGTCATATTTACATGGGGATTGTTTTTAATTAACACCGAAAATATTCTAGCACTTTACGAAATACACGTTCTTGACAGCAATTTTTAATTGTACTGTGTTGATCAAACACATTTTTGAGAGTAATTTCTATATTGTTATTTTTCTATTTGACTATATATTGAACAATGTGGTAGTTTCCTGTACAAATCATTTCATTTCTTTCCGATTTTTCGGATATTAGAAAATTGTGCTACCAAATGGTGTTGGCAACAATTGAAAAGAAACACAAAACTGATTACAGTATTATTCAATGACCATACGTGAATACAAAGATATATTAATTTCGTCTTCTGTAGTRATTCACAAATGATTGTTAAATATAAAAACTCAAGAATACTACTCATTTTAAGTTGTATTTTTAAGAATAATGGGGGAAATTTGAGTTCTCTTTTCTAGATAAGCATGATYGATAAAACAATGAATTATAATATGATAGCCAGGAAACTTCATAAAAAGGAATCGGTAGCCTTGTTGCAAATTAACGACCATTTTGTTTGCTTCCTGAAAGGGGATCGCATTATTTAAAGCAAACACTAGGATTAAAATGGATGTTCACTAAAAAACCGAATCAATAATGAGAAATTGAAAAAACGTTTAGGTCATTGAATCCATCGATTAGGAATAATGACTTGCTTCATCGTTCAGCTAAAGAGGGATATATATCTTGCTATTCTAAACTAAGTCTATCAAATCTTACATCAAATCTTACTGCTAGTAAAGGTAATATTAGTATTTGATCACTTCTAGACGGGTCAATCCTGTTTTAACAATCTAAACCCTTCTCTGTTATTTCTWCATTTCAAATCTGTCTAGTTCATATTGGTAGACTGTCAAAATACGCCAAAACATCTACTCATCTTTATGCCCAATCTAAGTGCCCTTTAAATGAAAAGCTCGTTCTTTCCTGTYCCTTAATCCCCGTTTACACTAGCGATTTTTGAAGCGATTTTTGCTGAGATTTTTTTGCGATTTTGTCCATAACAAATAATGGAAAAGAATTTACTTGTAAAGTTTTTTTCAGGATACCAASATTTTCCTAGACGAATGTCTCTTTTGAAGGATGAGACAAAATATTTCATATTTCCGAAAATTGCTACAAAAATCGCAGCAAAAATCGCTGCAAAAATCGCCAGTGTAAACGGGGCTTTAGAGTCTTACATGTTCTTCATCTGGGTGGTCCTGTCCCTTAGAGTCTTACATGTTCTTCATCTGGGTGATCCTGTCCCTTAGAGTCTTACATGTTCTTCATCTGTGTGGTCCTGTCCCTTAGAGTCTTATATATTCTTCATCTGGGTGGCCCTGTCCCTTAGAGTCCTACATGTTCTTCATCCGGGTGGCCCTGTCCCTTAGAGTCTTACATGCTCTTCATCTGGGTGGCCCTGTCCCTTAGAGTCCTACATGTTCTTCATCTGGATGGTCCTGTCCCTTAGAGTCTTACATGTTCTTCATCTGGGTGGTCCTGTCCCTTACAGTCTCACAAGTTCTTCATCTGTGTGGTCCTGTCCCTTAGAGTCCTACATTTTCTTTTTCTGGGTGGTCYTGTCCCTTAGTGTCCTACATGTTCTTCATCTGGGTGGTCCTGTCCCTTAGTGTCCTACATGTTTTTCATCTGGGTGGTCCTGTCCCTTAGTGTCCTACATGTTCTTCATCTGTGTGGTCCTGTCCCTTAGAGTCCTACATTTTCTTTTTCTGGGTGGTCCTGT